GGGGGGGGGGGGCGGGGGGGGGGGGGGGGGGGGGGGGGGGGGGGGGGGGGGGGGGGAAGGCCGGCCACAACGAGAGCATCAAGGGGTGTTGGCACCCCCCGCTATCTACAGTGTGTGTGGTCGGTTGCGGGTAACACAACAATCAGGACTCTGCCGGCGAGTCGACAGAGAGAGAGAGAGAGAGTGAGAGAGAGAGAGAGAGAGAGAGAGAGAGAGAGAGGGAGAGAGAGGGAAAGGGAGGAGATATGTAGAATACAGGCCGAAACCGTGAGGGCATGGCTCTTATCTCGAAAAGCGGAACACCCGGCAGAAAAAGACGGTGCCGATCGGTGAACGGAGGAGAACGCAGTGGCCATAGAAGCGCGGCACAGTAACGTGCGTGCATACGGCTGAGCCTACGTAAGCCACCACGGCGGGGCGACGGCGGGGTACACGCCGGGGGTATGTAGCAGCGTGTACACACGCGCGCGTTGCACGCTTGTGAACCGTCAGTTGGACTAGTACGGATATGTGATAGGTACAGAGCGGAGACCGGAACGGTTCTTAATTGTAAGACAACGACAACGACGACGACAGCAACAACAACGCCTGCTACCGACAAGGGAGACATCGCCGTATGCTGCTCGAGACACCTTAGAAATACCACTTGACGACAACAAATTTTGAATCCATTTGCTAACATGTATAGCAACATCACGGACTCTCACAAATATCTGTGGAAGAGATTGATTTGTTGTGTTTTTTGTGAAGAAAAACAAGATGACTATTGCACAGCTTCATCCTGTTGCTTGAGCGTGTTGGGGTGACGGACAACACCGACTATGGTTTGATTGCAAGCAGGAATACGCTCCAGCACAGCAGGGGGAGAAGATGGGATATACAGGGATACACGTACTTGCGGGGGAGAGGAGGAGACGGCCTTTCGGCCGAGGCTCGCGGCGAAACGGTTTGCGGTTTTCCTCTTTTCCTCAAAAGTGAGGCACGTTTTCAAGCAAGTCGCAACAGGCCGGCAAGTTGGAGACCGCCACGGCCATGATATTGTACATATCCTGTATCCTTTGTTCTGTGCAAGACAGCCACACGGCGGTCGCGTGGGATGCGTCGTGCAAACAACGCCGGTCACGCCAAGGATGATGCTGTCTTCACCTTCAAAAAAAAGTTCCGATCTCTATTCATTGTCCCGTGCCTCCCGCCGTACCAGTATTGTATGACTTCTACAATAATGCCGTTTTGGAAAACACCAACATCGTTACTCTTGGTAGACTCGGAAAAAGTGGGAAAAGGTGACAACGAAGGGAATGCGAGGTGAATCTCACCAGCGGGGCGGAAAGCATCAAGGAACACAAGGCTCACACGGGGGACGCTTAAGCTGAAAGCTGTCCCTCTGGCATGCTGGAGAGGCCGTAACCCCCAAACAATCAAGGACAGCAGCACCACGATACTATCATAAGTCTACATCAAGAGCTGCGTCTGCACCCATGTTTGAACGTCAGGTATGTTACGGGAAAAGTCCGCGGGGGAGTCGCTCTCGGATTTCGTGTGCGGGGAGAAGAAAAACCGTTACGAAAAAGCCCGTGGGGTGGTCATGTTCTACTTTCCATTTTCAAGTCGTTGTGTGATGTGTGTCCGGGTTGTGCATGCATATGACACGAGCGTAAAATCGTTGGCCTATATTGGTGCAGCAGCAGTGCCGTTGCCCGACAAAGAATGCCCAACCCTCCATCATTGATTGTGCTGAAGAAATATCGGGCTTTAAAAAAGGCCGGCAGGGGCGGGGCATCTTCTGCAACGTACGGTGTAGTCGTGTAGTAGCCTCGTGCTGTGGTACATAAAGTGATGCGACGAACGTGGGGATTGTCAACGCTGACGGTGAGTGCGGCAGTCGATGTGGGAGGGGGCTATCGCGTGCCAGAAAAAGATCACGGATCAACAGGAGCGGCGAGCTGCATGGTAGGAAGCGATCCACCACCACGAAGACGCCGGCAGGCTGCTCGCTTTTAGGATCCACAACAGGCACTCTGTGCTCCTGTGAGTGTGATGTCCCCCGGTACACACCTGCATGATGCATCTGGGCTGATTGCCACGGCACGACGGTACACCTCCTACCCCTCGCTCCCTAACGGCTGCAGTGCACTATAAATACAGCAGCTTGAATTCAAGATGACAAGGATAGTTATCCGTGACAGCAGGACAACTAGGTTATGGAGATGCGTACCAACAAAGGGGGGAGCGGCACACCGCTGCTGTACTGCTCTGTAACGAAAAAATTATCATGACAAGCAAGCGCCGAATACAATCGCGCGAGGAGAGATGCAGCTTTCCAACGCCAGCAGCCCCCACTTACCCGCCGAGAAGCAAACGCCTTTGCCGGAACACCAGGCCAGGCATCGTAGCAGCAGCGCCAGTGTTTTCTTCTTTCCTCCGGCGTGTCACTCTACTGCTGCCGTTCTCACGCGGATGCGCCCCCCAGCAGTCAAAACCACGTTGGTTGATGTTGTTATGGGTGCTTCTGTGCTTGCTTGCGTCACGGTTCTCTCAAGGACGCCGACAAGGGGCCAGGGGTCGAGATCATCAAACAGCAGCCAACACGGTCCTCTTTTCCCTTGGGTGTTGCCTCGTGAGTCCCCCGCTCTGCACTCTACGGCTGTGCTGGTTGCACTGTCTGCTGTTCGTTGTGGGTGCTCGTAGGCAGCTACTGCTGTACTGCTAACTTGCAGTTGTTGCTGTTGTTGGGGCCGACAGGGGGCGCACAGATTGTACTGTCACCTGGGTCGGTCGAGAGCGCCATGAGGAGGGACGCTGGTACTGACAAAAAAATGACAGACCGAGACCTGTCTCTTCTGTTTTGTGCAGCACGTGGAGGGTAGTTCAAAGGTAGCCGAAGAGAAGGAAGAGATACTGACAGGGTGGACCAACTTCTCCTCGCAGGATGAGCAGATTGTCGGTGCCTGTACACGGTGAGATTCTCTTGCAAGACACTCGAAACCAAACAAGAAACGATGCGGAAACTTGGTGTTCGAACTGCTGCAGCTGCTGCAGGTTACGCCGCTTGTTGTACACAGCGGAGTCGTCCCCGCCTAAGCAGTGGGGGGGGACTACGGTAAAACTTCAAACTGGTCTCTGCCGCGCCAGTTTGTCTCCATGCTGGCGTCTGTGCTGCGCTACGAAAGACGAAGCATGCCACACCCTCAGAACCTTGCGTAAAATGACTTGTTGGTATTGATTTTCTCCTTGCTTTGGCCTTCAAACATTCGAATTCCCGTTGGCCCGATAAGCAGAGAGAGGGTTCACGCGGGAATGCATTGCACAGACGAAAAGGGCTCCATACTCTCCGTAACAGCAGTAGCCAGTTGCAAGGTACGCTCCCTAGTGATCCTACTGTAATTTGGCTGTGGTTTTGAAGGAGACAAAGAGAGAAATTCAAATTTTCAAAAAAATGATTTTCCGGTGGGTGCGGGTGCCGTCTTCATTTCGGAAAAGGATAATATCGGCACTATTGAGGGCACCGGCACCAATCAGTATAGTGCCTCAATAGTGCCGATTCAGCACTATTGAGGTTTCGAATATCCCTCAATAGTGCCGGTCCGGCACTATTGAGGAGATGTTTGATTTCATGCTGTGGCGCTCATGCGTTGCAGGGCTAACAGAGTACGAAATGGATCAAACTTAGAAAAGGTCTATCGTGGGCGTAGGCATCCTTTCTCGCGACAAGTATGGTTCCCCCCTGTCGCACACACAGAGGGCGAGTTGTAAAAAATATTTACTTGCATTTTGCACCATTATTTTCTGCCTGCCTCAGCACATGAACTGTACTGCACACCCTGAACTGTCGAAACTGCTGTTGACGGCAAGATGCTTGTAAAGTTCCCGTTCGTACAGAGTGGACGTAGCTATATCTCAGCCCTAGAGCCCCTCCTTCGATGTTGCAAGATACAAAAGACAAAACAGAACAAGAAACACGACAGGAAGCGCACTGCAAGAAAACAAAAATCAATACTACTGCACTACAGTTGTATCTCCCCCCCAAACTACGTCGCGACACTGGAGTGTCTGCCTGGCGTACCCGCTTCGATG